AACGAGAAGAAAAATCGGGGACGGGATGGGAGGTAAGAATGGGATAATATTTAAAATTATAAATTGCATTCTTTTTGATTTTAATGAATCCTGATATTTGTATCTTCTATAGAATTCAATACGACATAATCTATCACTTAATAAAGCATTCAGAAAATTGCCCAGAACAGAGGGACAACTAGGAAAGGGATGCTACTGGACCATCCTTCCCGATCACGAAACGATTATCGATAATAGCTGGTTCAAAGGACAAAATCGATCAACTAAAAAAGTAAGATTATCCAAAGAGTCGATAACAAAAACTTCATTGCCACAGATAACTCCTGTCGAGATAGTCGACATCACAGGAGATGATGATGATAATGATAATGATTATGACGGTAGTAGTATTTATACTGAAAGAAAACCACCGGAAATTATTGAAATCGATGACGATAGTAATGTAAGTCGAGCTAAAGCTCAATCTGTATATACAATAACTAATTCTACCACCACATCATTATCCAGCAATAATACGGGCGAAGAGCAATTCGACTATGACGCGTTTGAAACCCTCTTAATACAGGCATTAGGATGTTGATTAAAGATCTTCTAAACAAAAACATTACACTATATGAATCATCATATATATTAATCATCATATATATTAATCATCATATATATTCCACATCATACGCGTTATCGTTACATAACTAATATGTAGCTTTTCATATAATTAGCATTAGATAGTAATTATTATTTTATCAGTAGTGCATTATATTTCACTTTGGAAAATAATATCTCGCAAATTATGTTTCGCATTTTTATATATGTATAACAAAAGTCATTAGTGATTTATCATTTTTGTAAATTCTTGCAATTGAAGATACTTTTATCAATTATTTAGAGTAATGAGACTGGATTAAGTTTTAATTTTATTTCAAAATAAAACTTTAGATGGATTCGCTTTAGCATAAAAATGTATTTATATAATAAATATATAAAACACTTTATTATTACGTATAGAACTTTACAAAATTACATATCGATATATGAGACTGTTTAACTCAATTTCTTTTATATGATAAAAAAGAAGTTCGTGCATATTTTTCTCGTTTTCTGCTTTTTTTATAGCTTGTTGCTTTTTAATTTTAATGGAACTCCCCGCCCAACAAACACCAATCAAATTCGACCATTAGTCACCTCTACCCTTACTTAGGGTTGGTAAAAGTCTTAGTAAGTCCCAAGAAAAGTGCTAATATAAAAGATAATTTTTTATTGTTTAAAATAGTTTGTTAATTAAAATTACTTGTAAGAAATAATTAATAAATTGTTTCTAAATTTAAAAAAATTCTAAAATTAAACATTAATTTAATTCACGAAGAGATTTGTGATTTTGTAGAGATGTTATCGCTTTAATTGTCGATTTTTGGATTTACCGGCCCAGCAATATAATAGAGAAATTTACGGAGTACTTCCTTACATGAGCGAAATAGAAAGCCATATATATATGTGTGTGTGTTACAGACGAACGACCATTTGGTGAGCGAAGTCATTATATATGACATGTACCAAATAATGTTCATGGATAAATAGCATTATATAAATTTTGTCTGTCAGGAACGGAGTGGTCCGTTATATCGACTTTCACTGTGTATATAACTTTTTAGAATATTCGAAAATTAATAGAAAAAGCGTAACGGTAACAATTAATTTCAATTTCAAATAAATACAAACAATAATCACCTTCATTTAACATACAAACTGTACCTGTAGAAATATTCGATATAATTTTAATTGGTATGAAATGTCAATATGACTTGCATTTCGATTTTTTTTTGTAATAACGACGAAATCTCAACATTTAGACCTCGTAGGCTATTTTTTCATCATAAAACGAACAGTAAATATACTACTATTGAAAATGAGGTAATATTTCAAGACAATAATAATATTTCGTCTTATTATCAATAAAAAATGATGCTCGAGATAAAAATTAAGACTCTAGTTTTATAAAAAAAATCGTGTTCAAATTCAAACGACGAGAATTGAGTGAATTTATATGGGAGAAATTGTACATAAGACTTAATTTTTAAGAGAGAATTAGATTAGAATAAATTAAATATATTGACATTGTTATTTAGTAAAATAAAAAAGAAATCAATTCACTCTAATAGAAGTAACCCGGTGACGTTGTCTGGTGACTTTCGGCAAACACGGACAAGTCAATCTCTTGGCCGGAACCAACGAGTGATGTGCAGACATTAATATTACCGTATAAAGACCCGGGTCTTTTACAAAATACTATTCCAAAGGGGATAAAAAGAGAGCTGATGTATTACTTTAAATTTCATGGTTTCATAGTTTACGTTTACGCAGTGTTGTCACGGGACAGCTTTGGACATGCCTTTGGACAATCTTAGACATTTTTGACAAAAAAAATCAAATTTACTCAAAATTTTATTAAAATAACCTGTTTGGACACTCTAATTAAAAATGTTTAGAATTTCTCGTTGTATATAATCATATATTTTTTATTTGATTTTTTAATAGTATAAGAATTTGGACACTTGGATATTTGGACGTTTGGACATTTGGACAGTCGAAAAAGTGCTTGGACATCCGAAATGTACAACGTGATTATCCTCCAATCAATTACCCATCAACCAATAAGGGGCCTGACAATAATCACCTGATTTTGGATGGATGGTGCTCTATATTAAAAGATGCGAAAATTTTTAAAACAAATCCGACACAAGAAAGCAGATGCCTAAATCTAGCTTTGGTGTACTAATATACAGTCAACTCTCCCTACCGTAAAGTGTCGAAAATGAGCAACCTCTACGTCATCCTATTTTTAAGAGGGTTGTTTATTTTCGAATCTTTCGCAAAAATGTAAAGATCTCGACAATAAGTGAACCAAATCGAGCGTGCTATAGCTCGTTAGATTCGCCTCAGTGAGACAAACATTTTGGTAGTTGTTTCGTTCGATTTAGATCACTGGTTGTCGAGTTATTTATAATATCTTTTATTATATATATCTATTATATATTGTGATGATAAACCAATTCAACCAATAAGAACACGCAAAAATTCTGCACAACCAATAGGAATGTAGCAAATTTTTGATCAATCCAGAAAAACAAATCCAGTATAAGAAAATGTAAAAAGATAAAAAATGCAAAAAAATACAAAAAACAAATATTTAAATCTAGTTTGACATATTATCAAAACATGTTGTTACGAATCCTGGACTTGGATAGATAATCTTGTGATGTATGTATTCAACCAACATCTCTGATTATACTAACTTTGATCCAGTTATATTAAGATCAGTGCACAGTGCGACTTCTTCTATTCTATTAAGATAGAATAGAATATTACTACTATTAATAAATATTTTTCTTTGTATTTACTTAATGTATGGATGATTAAGGATACTTGCCTAAATCCTTTCAGAAAAATATCGTCATAATTTCGACGGGTTACACACTAATTGTTAATTAGAATTTTGACATAATTTCGATTACGACGGGTTTCAAAATTCGTCAGAATTTCGACAGGTTATTTACTAATAGTTTATTATAATTTCGACAGAATTTAGACAGTTACTAAGGGATTTCGGCAAGCAACCTTATGGATGATCCTATAGCAATACAATACTAATATTCTATAGCAACCTGGTTAAATGCATAATAAAAATGAATGTTATAACAATATTAATTATAAAATCAATTAATATATAATTTCATTAAACAATAAACAAGAAACAGTTTATTGACTAGCTAAATTTTGTATTGTCATTATTTGATATTTTAGATTATATGTAAAATATCATATGACATAATTTTGATAATTATTTATATTTTCTTTTATATTTTATATTTATAATTTTATTTTTAATTATTTAATTTATTTAATTTATATATAATTTATCAAAATACCAATTAATTCTTTTTAATATCACATTATTTATTTTATTATAATATTATTGAATCTAAATTCATTCTATTTTAAATTAATTTTATTTAACATTAATTAATATAGCACTAATGTTACTTTAATTTAAATTGTATCACTTAGATTAAATTAGTATTATGCCTACCATTTCTTGGTGTTACACTTTTTTCAAATTTATCTTATAATTATTTTTAAATAATGTTACTCATTATATAGATCTGTATTACATTTACATGTATTTAAACAGATATAATTTAATATAGAATAATAAGAATTTTAATAGTAATTTTTAAAAGTAATAAAAGTATAAAAGTTAATTAATACTTCTAAATAATCTTTTACTTATTATTATCTTTGATTTATTATTTATTTAATTCAACTAGTAAAAGTTATTTTTTGTATTTTAATAAATCATTCATACTTTTAAATTATAAAATACCTATTCAACTAGTAGAAGTATTAGAAACTATTTCTTTTTAATACTCTCTTTCAACCATCTAGTATCCAACTCTTTCAAATATACACAGTCACTATTATCATTCTTACTAGTATCCAACTCTTTCAAATATACATAGTCACTATTATCATTCTTATATAAATTTTAACTAATTATTATAATTAGTTAATATCTTGCTCATCAATATAAGAATGATAATAATACTTATAAATTTATATAGTATTTAGCAATATAAATATTTTTATAAAATTAATTTAAGTTATATATTTTATTATTATTTTCAAAATATTACTTTTTTATTATAAGAAATTATTAATAATTTTAAACTAATGATTTCATGATCTGTTCAATTTTGATTAAATTTTTATTATTATCTATTTTTTAGTATAATATATACAAAATAAATATTATAGGAAATTAAAGTTAGAATTAAAGTAGAATAGAGTAAAATTTATATTATATATAATAATTTGTATCATATATGATATTATATACTATATAGTATCTTTAAAAAATATCATTAAACTTTTTAAAAAATGAAATTTTTGGTTTATTTCATTTCTGTTTTATATAAATAACATTTTTTTTATTATTAACTAATATATTATTTATTTTTTATATAATTTTAATATTATCTTAATTTCTTATAATATTAAGCTCATATTTTATCACAAATTAATATATTAAATTTTTCTTTAAAACATATTCACAATTTTTGAAAAGCTTTTATATTTTAGAATATTATTTTATAATAGTTTCTAAATATTTTCTATAAAATCAAATCTAAAAGAATATACAGTTAAATCTCTCTATAGTTACATTTATTTATAGTCACATTTCTCTATAGTCAATCTATTTTGCTTTTTTATTTATATATAAATATAGTAAAAAAAATCTCTATAGTCACATTCTCTCTATAATCATCAAATTTTGCTTTTTCAAGGGTGATGACTATAGAGGTATTTGACTATATTAATTAGTTTATAATTATTAATATTTCTATTTTATAATCTTTTTAAAATTAAAGTTAGAATTAGAATTAAAATTAAACTAAAATATCATATTTTTTTAAATTAATAAGTATAAAAGATTATGAAAAAGATAAAATTATTTTTAAATAAATTTTTATAAAGATTTTTTGTTAATAATATCATAAAATGGCTTAGATTATTTTTTTGACTTTTTATAAATATATATCTTTTTCTTGTTTATTAAGAACTTGTAATCTTTTAGATTCTAATAAATTTTTTTTATTTTTCTTGTATTTAGCAAGAAATTATTATTCTATTATTAAATTATGAATTATTTTTCTTGCAATTTATATGATATTTAAAACTCTAATAAAAATTATTTATTTATTCTTATTAAAGTTAGTTAATTAAAGATAGTATATATTATATTTATAATTAACAAATTTCATTCAGTATATATTTAAAAATTGAAGAAAAATTAAAAAATTATAATTAATAATAAAAAAAAGAAAATATTATATTTAAATTTATATTTATATTATATATTTAAATCTAATTATATATATTAAAAATAGAATAAATTTTATAATACTTTTATATAAAAAAGTAAATTTTATAATATAATAAAATTTTTATTATATTAATATTAATATTAGCAGTATACATATAATTAAGAGTAAAAATCTAATTATATTAATAGTGATATTAATAGAATATAATATTAAAGTTGATATATATAGAAGAATTTTATAAGAAAAAATTTATTCTATAATGAATATTACTAATAAAGTAATATTATTAGCAAAATTGATATTAAAAGAAGTAAATTATATATATATTTTTTATTTTAATTTTGAATATAAAATATAATTATATAACTTTGTAATTGTTAAATTTTTATAATTATCAAATTTTATAATTATTAAAATTTAAATATTTCAGGATTTTGTACTAAATATGAGTTTGATTTTGTCAGTTAGATTAGACTTATATATAATAGAACTTCTAATCAAGTTTCTCAAACTAAAATTTTATATATAGTTTAATAATATGAATTTAAATCTTATTAATTAAATTATATGTAAATTATATGCAAGTCAACAAGCGGAGCTTTTCAGAGCTTTAATATATAATTACATTATATAAAAATCTCTTTATAAACATGCTTTTTATAAATCAATATTTATTAATACTATATAAAAAAATCTCTTTATAATCACAGAATTTTATAGTCACATTCTTTTAGAATCAATACTTAATAATGCTATATAAAAAATCTATATATAGTCACAATTTCTTTATAATTATCTATTTATTTTTTTACCAATGGTGTGACTATTTAAAGATCAGACTGTACTATTAGAATTATAAATATCAGAATTTTATGCAGATCTCTATTTTTATAATAAAAAAATAAAAATAAAAAAATTTGAATATTGAAATGTGTTACTATAACATTTATTCAAGAATGTGGATGATGATCTCATTACAAGGCCAAATACATTACTTACCAATTTTTTCTGGTTTCTTGTCACTAGTTTTTTGACATCAGGAATTTTTTAGTGTAACTTGCGGCGAACCAATTAGAAATGTTACATAGTTTTTTTCACCTTTTTTTTAAACGGTAGGAAATGATAAGTACATTAAATTATTGTAGCATATGACTAGGAATTGTACTTATTGACTCCAAACGACGTTTTCGGGTTGGGGAAGGTTGGTGAATTATAATTTACTTATCATTGTTCTAACGCTAATTTTTTTTTGATGCTAACAAATTAAAAAAATATAATTTTTTTATCCCTTTAATGTGATTCTATAACGATAACGCATATATTTTGCTTTGAATATATAGTAATTTTAACGCAACTTTGCATTTATATTTTCTCCAGATCCCCCCTTTTTTCATGGATGTAATACTTTTTGCAAGATACGTATTCTACTAATTTTCTCGCATTCTTTTAATAGACAGTTTATGATATTCAAGTAACCCCGTACCCGATAAAAAACGCATTCACTACAATGATGAGTATTCGAAATTTTAGAATTCAAAGAGCATTTATGTGGTGTAAAACTGTAATAAATTATTACCGATAACGTTAATGTGATAAACGAAATTGATAAAATAAAAATAGACGCGTGAACTCAAAGAAGTTAGAAACCAACTCAAACACAGTTAATATCGATAGCGATCCCATTACCGTCAGGATTTCTAATGTTTAGACTCTTAAATTAAATTAACTCAACGACAATAAAAATTTTAAGTATAAAGTAAATAGTTACCATTTTCTTCCTATACAGCACAGTATTTTTCTTTTGATATTTCCATATTTTGTTGGAGGTGATTCGTTATGGATTTGTAGATTTTGTTGCGAAACACTCAATACCTCTTCATCTATCTCGTTGATTTTATCTTGAATCTGTAGTTTTTCTTGTAAGTCATTCGATATCTCTTCATTCTCTTTGATTTCATGTGGCATACTAAAATCGAGATCGTCCGGAACAAACAAACTGACACTTGTCAACCCTAAACATTCGATATAAATTTAATTAATATTAAAGTTAATATGAATTATATTTAGAAATAAAAAAATTACCTGTCTCAGTTGGAATTGAAATTAATTTTGAAGTAAACGTTCGACTGGTGTAAACTGCGTTTGAGTAGATTTCTTGTTTTTTGCTCTTATCCGTAGGAATGATTTTTTGTAATTCCATCTCCTTATCAAGTCCCATCAATTTCTGCTTTTCTAGTTTAAGGCACTCTTTAATTTCTTCATCCTCTAAAGAGCCGAAGTATTGAAAATGCAAATTATTCAGATTCGATTCCTCACTGTAGATAGATTCGCTAAAGTTATAAAGTTCCCGCACAGTTGGTCTGTCTTCTGGAATAGGATCCCAACATTTTTCAATAATAAACTTGAATAATTTAGGGATATTATTTGGTATCGTAGGTCGTACTCCATTATAGATGTCTAATACGAGATCTATACTATGACTTCGTTCACCAAATGGTCGTTCACCTGTGGCAATCTCGTACGCAATCATCCCGAAACTATAAATATCTGCAGCTTTAGTGTATGGTTCTCCATTTAGTATCTCTGGACTCATATAAGGAAGTATTCCGCAAAATTTTTCAGATTTCTCTATATAAACTGGTTTGGTAAGTGCAAAACTAGCAATTTGAGCATTACCATTTGATAATAATATATTTCCAGGATGAAGGTTACGATGCGTAAGACATTCTTCGTGAATTGTATGCAGCCCATCGATAATGTCAATTAAATAGTTTAATCTTGCTTCCCATGTCAATTCTTCGTAGTTGGAGTTAATATACTTGCAAAGATCACCATCTTTTGCATAATCCATTACTATCGAGTATTCATGTGTAGCTGGGTTGTTAGTTATTCCATAATAATTAATATAATTACGGGCACACTTTAGAGAAATTAGAATCTATTTTTGAAAACTTATTTAGATTAGAAACGAAAAACATCTTTATTACGCTATAAAAATTGTTCATTTTACCTCGTTTATAAACCTTGCTGTAATCTGCTTTGAAACATGTGATGGTTTCAACACAACTTCGCGTTTACCATCTCGTTTAAATTTATTTTCTTCATGATCCCACTCATATTTCAATGGTCCGTCCAACCAGGTTGCTTTATAAAATGATCCTTTTGCTAGATATTCAACATTGGTAAACCTTTTAAATGGAATCCATTCGAAATGTTTAAATTCACCAGCAATTTCGTCGCATTTATTTATTAGACTGTCGATATCTTTATTTCCGCTAGACCATTCAACATAAATTCGTTTGTGATATTCTGAACATTTATCGCAGCGGTCATTCTGTTGACAAAGATTACATTTACTACAATCATGAGTATTGTGAACTGAGCATTCATCACAGTACTCGTATTCTTGACAATCGTAACAGTTATTACTGCAATCATGAATATTGTGAACTGAACACGCTTTGCAGTAGTAATCTCGTTGACAACGCCAGCATTTACTGCAATAATGAGTATTCGAAGTTTTAGTTTCCATTTTATTATTTTAGTTATAATGTGCTTCGTTAGAATTTTTGTTAGCTTTAATAATAAAATCAGGAGAAATCGAAAAAAAGCTACGTAGTATGTGAACATATATACTGGCAAGACGATAACGATCAACGATAAGTCTTGCTCTGATTCTATTAGAACTTCTATTACTCGAAAGTGAGCCAATACATTACTATAATTTAGACATGCACATGAGATTGGCAGACAATCAGGTGTATATGTATATACATGTATATAGCGACAACAATAGTGAATACATGTATCAGGCTGGCTCCATTGTATGCAGGATCTCGATCTGGATCATCACCGTTATGATTTTTGATCAACTGATGCTGGATCTATCGGAAAAAATTGTAATTTTGTCCGAAATTCCGATACATGTGCATGTACATGTACTTTTTTTGAGCCATGAATAACGATAAATTTTTCAATTATTTCTTTGTATGTGCTGTATGTACGTATATGTTATCTCCGAATGCCTCGTACCACGAGATGCAATTAGCTTCAATTGCATGTACAGCAAATTATATTAAAGCAAGTCAATAATATTGAACATTTTAATTTTATTGATTATACATAATTAGTATTCAGATAAGGCCATTGAAACCATCAAACCAATACAACCTATAATATCCGTTAAAAGCACGTTTAACTGTTGGTTCCTGCCAAATCGAACTTCTGACAAATCACGCGTCTATCAACCCCGTCTGAAAGAGCATCAGAATTAATTCTTTATGAAATAACTATTAGAATTGGCTCAATTTGAAATAAAATATTGATGAATGTTTTTTAAATTAATTTTTACGAGTTACGTATCATAATTTTTAATTGCGATTTAAGTAAATTCAAATAAAGTTTGAAGCGTAAAAAAATATATACAGTATGTTGAATTTACTATCTTTATTAATTTGGATTCGACTCATCTTGAAATAAAGATATCAATTGCACTTACTGTATATTAAGATGCTCAAATAACTGAAATAGTAAAAGGCAGGAAAAAATCAAAAAACTTCCAAGTCTATATATACAGCGACATTTAATTACTTAAAAGTTGAACCACCAAAGTGGTCATAAATATGCAATTATATCAAATTAATTAATGAGAACAATAAGAAACTTATTAACTTGATTAATACTTGTGGAAGGGGATTGTTTAATGAATATATCAGCGGTACCTAGATTCTCATGTTAAATACCGTAAAGCGTTGACTAGACCTTTCATTATAGAAAAGTTAAGCTTTAAATTAGTAATTATTTTTCTGCAAAATGAGTAATTTCTTCAAAAATTCATGTCACTAAAACAATAGCTTTGAAGCTAACGTTAAGGTCTAAATTTCTATGCTGCAGAACATCTAAACTCACCAATTTTAATTAAGAATTAAATACAAAGTTCAGTCCATGAATATGAAAAGTTTATCGAATTTATAATAATATATTGATGAATTTAGATGTTATGCACCATAGTCAGCGCTATATATATAACATTATCAATCCTTCCAAAAAAATTAACGTTAATACGTAACTCGAATTTTGAATTTTTACTCATATGGTGCATAAAATCTAAAGTCATCAAACGTTTGTATTTTATAAAATGTATAAACTTCTTTACTAAGAAGTAAATACAAAATTTAATCCGTGACTATGATAGAATAGGCTTTTCTGTGCATATTCACAGATTAAATTTTGTATTTACTTCTTAGTAAAGAAGTTTATACATTTTATAAAATACAAACATTTGATTACTTTAAATTTTATGCACCATAAGCATCTTTATTCCTACATGTATAAATCCAAAAATTCAAAACTCACTGCTTTAAGCATTTAAAATATTTGACAACATAAAAGCGATAATAAATTTTGTGAATATTTCAGTTAAAATATTTTGGCGTTAAAAAATGTGCCACAGTAATGTGAAAATAATTTGTATCAATCAGCTTATTTCTGATATTTACAAAATACAAAAATTGATAATTAAATATATTATTGTTTTATCACATTATTTTAATTTTTTTATTATATAATGGTATTTTAGTTGAAATATTTATATGTTTAAGGTGAAAATATCAAAGAAGAAAATCTTCAAAATTTTACATTTTCATTCTTTTAAAATAATGATAAGAAAATTTCTTATTAAATATTTTAATTTTCATTCTTTCAAAATAATATTTACAAATATAAAATTTAATAATAAATAAATATTATATAAAACTAACATTATTCTTATATTATTATTAAATTTATCTTTATATAGTATAATTTAACATATAATACTCATCTCTGACTAAATTTAGCAACTTATATTATATTATTGCTTTGTAATTATAATAAATTTGATATTAATTTGATATTTGTAGTAATATCAAACATATAATTAATGTAGTTTTGGATTTGTATAAAAGATAAAGCTCTTTTTAGTAAAAAAATGTTCTAATTAATAAAAGTGCAAAGTTATAAATTATATTTCAAATTTTGTATATAAATAGCTATTTTAAATAAGTTATAATAAAAAATTTCTACTTTAAAAAAGTTATTTTTATTAAACTGATACAATAAATTCTAGATTATTTGAATTATTTTTAATTAATATTTGAATTTTTGTCATTATTATATTTTTTGAAAATACTTTTTATTTTTATTTGTATTAATTATAATTTTTACAAACATTAATATCAAATATCTTTAGAATTTTTAAAAAATATATTTTAATTATGAATTATTTAGTTTAGCTTTATATTTTTATTATATAGTAATTTTTTAATTACAATAATAATATAGTTAAATTTCTTTATAATAATTATATTAAATTATTACTTTTAGCTATTGTAAAGTCATATTACTATATATTATATAATAATTTACAGAATTATTTACTAAAAATTCAATACAAAAAATTAAAAACTAATATTATACTAACTTCAAAATTCACCAATTCCATTATTTTAGCAAAGATTACCAAAATAAGAAAATGTGATTTTTTTATATAATATAGTATTTTATTAACTTTTGATCTCTAATACTATTTTGTTTTATTCTTATTCTTACTTTTATTTATAATCTCTACATTTTGCTTTTTTATTTTATGAATTCCAATCTTTATTCTCTTTTTATCTTGATTTTACTTTTAATAATACTCTTATTTATTCATAATATATACAATATTATCATTTTTAATTTCATTTTTTCTTTTATCTCTAATTTTACTTCTATAATATTTAATTTTATTTCTAATAATATTCAACTTCACTCTTAATAATATTATTTATAGTTTTATAATATTTAATGATTAAAATCTTTAATGATTAAAATCTTTAATATATTATAGAATACTATATATAAATATAGAAAAATAATATTTTTTCTAATAAAATAATATTGTTACCATATTCTACGAGTTCTTGAGAGAGCTGGGGAGTGCTTAATAATATTATAATAAGTTACTTGATCAAGTAAAGTTTATTAAGAATGATAAATGGAAGAATATAATATAATTAAATCTATATAATGTATCAAACATTAAACTATGATTATAAATGAATTTAAAGGAAGATAACAGTATGTTCATAATGTGGTCAGCTAGAATGAGATCTGGAATTTTTAATAATAGTGTTTAATTAAAGAATTTTATGTAATAAATATATAAGATCATAATTTAATAATAATAAAATATAATTTCATTATTAGATGAATTTATCATTAATTTATTACATATTATTTATTATTCTTGAGATCCTGAGAGCTATTAAATCTGAGTGATTTTATCTTCATTGCTTCATTTGACATACAAACTGACACTTGTTGATTCAACATCAATATCTATATCAATATTGTTGTATAATGACCTTTCGTTATAACATTTAATATTATTGGATCATAAATATCTCATATTTTATTGGATAAA